CTAAAGTTGAAGATTCATTATCTCCTTGATGGAGCAGTTTGACTCCAGTGTAACAAGCAGAACTGCATTATATAAGAATATTTACGGTCATGATTCTCACAGTATCTAAAACCTGAAAACAACCCCGAATGTTTAATAACAATAGAAGAATAAACAGTAGTATGAATATTGAGTGAAATAACATACTGCAGTGCAAATAAGTGAGTTACAACTATGTGTATCAGCATAGATGAATTTTACAAATATAATGTTGAGAGGGAAAAAAGCCAGGTAAAAGAATAAATCTTTGATTTCATTAATATAAACTTTAAAAGTAGGCAAAATTAAGCTATGATATTTAGGAGTTATACTTTGACATTAGAAAAAGGAAAGCAAAGAGGTAGCTATCATTTAAGTTCCTTTTTTATAGGAAGAGGAGGGATTGTGTTTGAGAAAGTATTCTAGAATTGATAGCACTGTCCTATTTCTCGTATAGTGTTTACATGGATGTATAGTTCTTAATATGTATTGAGCTGTGCATTATTTATGTACTTTTCTTTATAAGTGTTATATTTCATTATAAAGATATTCAAAATGCCTACAGAAATGAGAGGAAGAGGAACATGGTGTTTTAGTGTGCTATATTAGCATGGAAGTTCTGTAAGTCTTCTAAGTGTAATGCTGTTCATTTATACTGCAACTACTGTAGACAGTGCTGGGAGTGAGGAGGTAGAATACAGGCAATTAAAACAAGTCCATCTCTCTAAGAGGTTACTGTCAATTTGATGAAATAGGTATATGATGAAAAGATACATACTGAAATTTTAAGTGCCACAAGTAACTAAATTCCTGTAAAGTTTTAAGTGTCATAAACAAAAGACTTAATGAGAAGCTAGAAGACAGGGTGAGAAAGCTAGGGGACTTGGGGAAAGTAATATATGTATTAGGAGGCATTTCAGTAGAATTGAGGAGATCATTTCTTTGTTAAAACTAATTTCCTTTCTTGACTCCTGTCAATGAATATGTGCTACTCAGGTTCTCCCCTTAATTCTGCTTTTTCCTGTCTAGTGTTGTTCTTTTTTCCTTGAGTTTCAGGCAAAGAGTAGGAGACTCTCTAGTGTCATTATAAGGGGGAATAAAGAGATGATCTATCTTGGATCGTAGGCTGTGTAAAGGAATCAAGTGAACAGTGGGCCAGTGGAGTGTGAGGGATCAGTGTCTTGTTCTTGTCTTTGTGGGGAGTCTGTTTTCATGGCTTCAGCTATAGACTCTGTCGATGACAGTCCTGATTTTTAATTCCGATGCTATTTTATTTATTTACATATATTTTGAGAGAGAGGGTCTTGCTCTGTCCCCCAGGCTGGAGTGCCGTGTCTTAATCATAGCTAACTGTATCCTTGATCTTCCTGGCTCAAGCGATCCTTCCATCTTAACCTCTGGAGTAGCTAGGGCTGCGGGTTCATATCATCATGCCCAGCTAAAGCTTTTTATATTCTGTAGAGACAGGGTCTTGCTATGTTGCCCAGGCTGGTTTTGGACTCCTGGCCTCAAGAGATCTTCCCACATTGGCTTCTGTATTAGGATTGTAGGTGTGAGCTACTTTACCTAGCTCCCTACCCTATTTTTAGTATGTTGTTGTCCTTCCGATTGTAAACATGTTATAAACAGAACTGAACTCTTCCCTTTTTAATTAGCTCCTTTTATGAACTCTCCTATTTATTCGAAGCTCCATATCTCATTTTTTCCCACTCTGATGACAGGTTAACCATTTTCTGCTTATTCACAGTTGAAATTTTAAAATTGTCATTGATTCTCTGTGAGAGATTAAGAGAAGTATGAATAATCATTCTTGACATCTTAAGAGGTTTGTTTTTTTTAAGAAGTACTGTACTGTGTATTTTGTAGTTATTATTTCAAAAGAAAAAGGTGTAAGGGACTTTTACTTGGTATAATGCTTAGTTTATGGAGGCTTAGAAAATCCTTGAAAGATTGTTGATAGAAGTCCAAGATGTCTTGCCCTAAAGGCATTTTTGTTTTTGTCTTATAATTAATATGTATATAAAATAATGAGCTACACTGAACAAGAAAGTTTTACCAAATGTGTGGTAGAACCCCTTAATGCCCCATTCACTGGGAGGGCAAATCTCAGAAGACATACTTGTACATACTTACTACACATGCTACCTATTTTCTTTCCTGTTTTTTCTCATAAGCGCCTAACCATATTCGAACACATTTTCCTTATTCGTCATACTGCCTGTCTCATCTTACTTCCCCCAAAAAACTACTTGAGGGCAAGGATTTTTGTCAGTTTTATTCATTGTTGTATCTGCAAAGTCTAATACGTAGTAGAAATTCAAATATTTGAATGCATGCATGAACATTGGTGTCTTAGAAACTTTTGTGCCATCTCTACAAAAAAGTTAAAATTAAAAAGCATTAGCCAAGCATGGTGGTGTGTGCTTGTAGTCTCAGCTACAAGCTGAGGCAATGAATGGGAAGATCACTTGAGTCTGGGAGGTCAAGACTGTGACCTTGACCATGATGGTGCCAGTGCACTCTAGCCTGGATGATAGAGTCTCAAAATTTGTTTCAAAATAAAAAAACAGCTCAGAAACGTTTGAGTTTAAATGTATATTATAAAGGAGCTACGTTTTAAAAGGTAGATGACAGAGACTACAGCTGGCTAAGTAATTGACTCAATCACTTTCTAGCTTTGCTGTCCCCACCCCTCACCCCGTATTTTAAGTTTTGAACCTTTATTCAGTATTTTGTGGTTGTGCTCTTATGTTCACCTCAGGAGCCCCTTAGACAAGTTGTTCTTTACCAGTTGTTCTTAATATTCAGAGCAAATATACCACTTATGAAAATCAGGTAGCATTTTAGATTCTGCTTTGTCATGAAAGATTAATTTGAGTATTTGAATTAAGTATGAATGTCACTCAGTCACATTTTATGTGACTTTAGGTAAAAGGTTTTGGGGCTTTGGCTTTGAACCAGCTGTGTATTCTCTTTGAGGACTGACCATTAAAATGCAGAAATACATTTGCTTCACTACAGCTGCTTTCCTTATGGGAATGAGCAGTTTATTTAAAGAATAAAACCAATAGAGCTTGGCATAGTGGCTCATGCCTGCAATCCCAATAACTCAGGAGGCTGAGGCCATAGGATTGTATGAGGCCAGGAGTTCAAAACCAGCCTGGGTAACATAATGAGACCTGGCCTCTGAAAAAAAAAAACCAACATTTTTTTTCTTTATATTACCTTTAATCAACTCTTAACACCTAAATTTTTTTTTTAAAGACGTAGCCAGGCATGGCGGCATGTACCTGTAGATCTAGCTTCTTAGAAGCTTGAGGCAGGAAGATCACTTGAGCCAGGAGGCCACAGTGAGCCATGATTGTGCCACTGCCTGGACTACAGAGTGAGACTTGGACTCTTAAAAAAATAAGTAAACCCAGGAGCCTCTTAACCTAGATCTTCTTTTTAATTTGATTAAGTAATCCATGTTTCCCTTTGTGCAGAATTTTTTTGGGATTATTTTTTAACAAGTAAAAATTGCATATATTAATGGTGTTTAACTTGACATTTTGATATAAATTGTGGAAAGGTGTACAGAACTTCTTGATAATATGATTTTTACCTCAGTTGGATTTCGCTGCATCCATATTGACATAAATTTGTTTGCTCCTATGCTGAGTTCAGGTTGTCTTTTGATTACAATTTGTCATTAGAATGCAGCAATGATGGCTTGGTCTCTGGAATCAGATTGACAGGGTTTGATTCTGGTTCTGCCTCTTAGTGGTTGGATATCCCTGAACCTCAGCTTCTGTACCATGGGAATAATAATATCTTTCTCAAGAAGTGTTGGAGTTAAAACACATGAAGTGCTTAGTATAGGTGCTTGGAACAATGCTTATAACTATTGAATAGTAAGGTTTAGTAAATGTTTGTTATTATTTAGAAATAAAGTGTAGTTAAAAGTTATCTTTTTAACCAGGTACGGTGGCTCACAACTATAATCCATCACTTTGGGAGGCCAGAGTGGGTGGATCACTTGAGGCCAGGAGTTCAAGACTAACCTGGCCAACATGGCAAAACCCTATCTCTGTTAAAAATATAAAAATTAGTCAGGCATGGTGGCACATGCCTGTAATCCCAGCTACTCTGGTGACTGAGGCAAGAGAATCGCCTGAACCTGGAAGGCGGAGGTTGCTGTGAGACAAGATCACACCATTGCACTCTACCCTGGACAACAGAGTGAGACTCTGTCTCCAAAAAAAGATGTTTTGCAGTAAGATCTTCTCTGACCCTGCTAAATATAATGGCATCCCCTTTTAATTCTTCATTCCTTAATTACCATGCTGTATTTTTCTGCATGGCCTACCTTTACTTGATATTAGTATTTATTAGTTTGTCTTTTTTTTTTTTTTTTTTTTTTT